TACTATAGTACAGTAACACTTCATTTATTCAAGCGTTTGTTCATTAAGTGTCTTCTGAGCACCTACTCTGTTCTAGTTACATGACCACATACCTAGAAAAGTGGGCTAATTAGACATGGTAGCTGCCCATTAGAATATCATTGTCTAGAGAAGCTAGACATCTAAACCAACAATTACAGTACAACATGGTAAGAACTATTACAGAGGTGCTATGGGAGCACAGCAGAGGGGCATTTAACTTAAGGGCTGTGGGCATTACAGAGCACTTCCTGGAGGAGGTCATGTCTGTATTGAGTTTTGAAAGGCTTGGGAGGAAAAGGTGGAGAATGCATAACAAGAATCATGGCATTTTCTGGAACTACAAGTACTTGGGTTCAATACTGAGGGTAGAAAGGAGTCATAAAAGCCTCGTGTAGGCCAAAGAGTTCAAACTGTGTCCTTAACAGCAGTGGAAAGCTGAAGATTTTAGTGAGAAGACATGATCGACTTTTAAGGTCACGCTGGCAGAAGACTGAAGATTGGAGAAAGATGAGACTGGGGAACGAACCATTTAGGAGACTTTGGTAGTATTCCAAGTTTTTAAAAAATGAAAGCCTGAGTTGGGATGAAAGGTGGTAGATAGATGTGGGAGACTTTTGGCAGGAGAATCAACAAGACTTGGCGATAAATTGGGAGTCAGGAGTGAGAGAGATGGAGGAATTCATGATGTCTCCCATTTTTCTCTTTGATGACCAGCTGAATGGTGAATCCATTCACAAGATAAAGAATTCAGGAAAAGAGAATCAAGTGCAGCATTTGTTTTTTCTGTTGTTGAAGGGTGGGTAGGAAATGACAGTTCAATTTAAATATGTTAAGCCTTGGAGATTTGTGAAGAATACTAAAGCCGTGGATGTAGATTAATTGGCATAGATGCAGAGAACACAAAGTGAAGATGGTGAAAGACTGCCTTCTGCATTAGACTGGAGACTGTAAGCCACTGGCAGGCAGGGCAGGCGATCTCTGAGTCTGTACACTCCCAACCTAGAGTAGAGCGAATAGGCACTTTGGAGAGGGCTGGATAAACGACCTTCCTCTTTCAGCCAACTGAGCCTCTCCCATTCTCCCCTACCCAAATGGTGGGCGTGGTTTCAACTTCCTTGGCATTCTGATAGGCAGGGACCATGCAAGCAGCCTAGGGACGATGGCACATACTGTATTTCTAGAGGAAGAGGGTAGATCCTTTTTAAATTCCCTTGCCGCCTTATCATAGTTCCCCATGGCTTTAAAATTTTAACCTCAAACTCCCTCGATTTAACCTCAGAAAACCCCAGTTTAATGCAATTCCACAAGTATTATTGGTTTGGGTGAGGTTAAGTGTTAGGCTGTGTCCCTGTCTCCGTGAGTTCCCAGGCCAGACTGCATTTGGCAAGACAAGCATGCTGAACAGGGAGTTTATATGGGATGCGGGGCGGGGGGAAGCACTGGGGACATGGGCAAGGACCTCATCCCGTGAGCTTGCCTTATAAACTCCAGGGCAGGGTCTGGGGCGCTGTGCCACCCTTCCTAGGCTTAATGCTGAGATGGCACTCCCAAGCGGTTGACATGAAAGCAGCCTCATAAAAGGGTCGGCGTCATTAGGGTGATGAACCAGTTGGTGCTTGGAGATCCAGAGGGGATGAAAGGCGCGAGGCGAAGACGCCCTGCGTTCCCCTGGCTTGGTTGGGCTGGGCTTCCAAGGGCCGATGAAAGCTGAGGGAACCGGGCTCAGAGTGTCTCTTCTTGTCTTTTCCGAGAGGAAGCTGTGGACATATTCCAAGATCGGGAAGGTATTAGTGAGGGGGGCTCTTTCCCCTAGAGTCCTGGGTCACCGGACTCCTTTGAGACTTACAGGAGACGCTCTAGGATTGGAAGTTGCTATGGCAACGAAGCTCTCGGACTACTGAGGAAAACCAAGGCCTAGAGAGGCTACAACCTCCTGTAACCCCTTTCGACCCACGGGTAAAGTGGCGCCCCCGACGCACAGGAACCGTCCCTGGGCCCCCGCCCCGACGCGGAGACCACCGTGGACCTCCGCGGGCGGGAGGCCGCTCTGGCCCCAAGCGGAGCCTCTCGCTGGTAGACGGGCCCGAGGGAGCCCCTCTGGGCGCAGCGCCGCTGAGCTGCTCGATGCTCCAACCGGAAGTGCTCTTCTCCGCCGGCCTCCCACCCGGCTCTCTGGTCTCGGCGGTAAGATGGCGGCTGCCGCGGAGTGCGATGTGTTAATGGCGGCGACCGAGCCGGAGCTGCCCGACAACGAAGAAGCGAAGAGGTAACCGGGTAGCAGGGTAGTGGAAGGGGCGAGCTTCAGCTCCGTGGCTCTGGGTAACTGGTCCCTGCCAGGACTCAACTCCTAGCTTTCAAGGCGATGCCCCGCCCTCCGTAGACCCCCCCACCATCTGAAGTCCAGTCCGGATGGACCCCCTGAGGGGGCGCTCTCGGAGGTCGGTCCTCCCCTCCTGCTTCCGCCTGGCTGGGGAGCCGAAGCTCGGCCTTGTTCTGCAGCACAGAGGAAGGTCGTCCGTACAGTGGAGACCTGTTCCCTGAGGGTATCTGAGGTCTGTCGTGGGGTGAGGGAGGCGGCGCGGCGGCAATGACAACTTCCTTACATCGCTCCAGACCCCGTCTTCTCTTATTCTGTGCATTGTTGTCTGTTAGCACTTTACATCTCTAAAGCCCGTGCTCTCCACCTCTTTTCTTCTGTAATTATACCCTAGCGAGCACTGGTCTGGGTCCGAGATGATTGTGTGGCTCCATTTATTGATTGACCTGGTCGCCCCCCGCTCTGGTTACCCCAGAAGTCGAAGGTGATGGAGAAGAGTAAGGGGCTTGTTTCATGCTCTACATGTCAAACTCCTTTCCCTCTATCTTTCCATCCTCCCGAGTAAGATCCTCATTCTTCCCAGGACTGTTCTTTCTTAAGCAATGAGGAGGAGGGGGCAGCTGCCTGAGCGCGATTGGCACCACTGAGCAGCCGCAGTGGCTCGAGATTGCCAGTCCGAACTAGCCATGGGAGCTGCTGAGTGCGTGATTTTCGAGAACACTCTGGATTCTGGCTACAGCTAAGGCAGATTGTTGGAAGTGAGGTTGGAACACAGTTGTTGATAGTCATACTTGTCCCGATTCTGAAGCGAAATTAACAAAAAGGTTCTGGAAGTTTGGAGACCTTTTCTTATCAGCTGCATATTAATTGACTACAGCCCCCTCAGTCTCCTTCCCACATATTTCATGCGATCTGAAATAAGGATTCTGAGATATTTTGCTATCCAAGTTTAAAAACATAAGAGGTATTCAGTGAGACAATGAATAGTTAACAAGCTTAAGGATAGTTACTGCATCCAGTGTTCCAAGTTCCTGATGTATTGGCACCTCAGAGGCTTGACAAAGTATAGTAGGTCCCTGGGATAACAGAGAAGTTAGGATACCACATCTAGTCTCTCTCTCTCTCCTTGGTTTTGAGTTTTCACATCGGTCCTAATTTCCAGATATTTTGACTTAGGCATCATCAGCATGATTAAGGAACTGCAAAATGGGAAATAAAACTACCCCCAACACAGTTTAAATTAATTGTGAGGGTTTACTTCCTTTGGAAAGAGTTTGGTGGTTCTTTGTGCTATAAATAGGGTCTTGGGTTATATGTAGTTTAAAAACCTCAGTTCTACTCAGTGTAAATCTCTGATGTAGGGAATATCCCTAATTTGTGTTCCACTTCAAAGGCCCCTATCTAAAGCAAATCCTTTTCCTTAAAAAAAAACAAAAAAACAAAAAAACTTAGAAAATAGTCTATTATAAGTTATAATAAATGAACCTGAAGTTATTTTAAGAAACATAAAACTGGTGATACTGTAATGTGAATACATTACACAAAAACATGGTATTTGGTAGCAGTACAACAAAATAAGAGGTCGTTGACTTATTTCATGAAATTTAAGATGTTTTTGATTGTAAAATACACAATTATTTTATCTACCACTAAGAAAAAAATTTATGAGAAATGTATTCCTACAAATAGACTTGTAGGTTATACATATTTACATAGATCTCTTAGACATACTAAAACATAGATGTTTATTATATACTACTTAGATGAACATATCAAAAGGAAAATATAGTGAAATAAACAAAAATCACTGTGACTTTCTGTCATCCTTACGAGGGTAAACACTGGGATCTGTTAGTAAGAAAAGCCTTGTTTATGTATGTTTTTCTAGTGCTAAAGTTATGTAAATTTTCTAGTGAGAATTTAGATGTTTGGAGGAAGGTTGTTTACATTTTTCAGCTATCTTGGAATCCTCCTATGTAGCCATAGCAGACGGCAAGGATAGTCCCTTACAAGTACCCTTTACTATCTGACTTGATTTGTCATTTGGCCCAGTTTCACATTTTTCGTTACAGTCTTACTACCGTTTCACTTGGGGACACAAGATTTGATGGGCCTCTTCAGTTTTTGTGAAGTCCAGCAAGGAGCCCATCCTTCCTTACATCTTGGCTGGGGCATTCTGCTGCTGCTGCTAAATTGTTACAATCTCAAGGGGCAAAATGAGGGGAGCTTTCAAACACTGCACCTTATGGTTACAGTCTTTTAAATGGCTACATATTTTGTTTAGTGTAACTGTCTCTAGAGAGAAAAGAAACTGACTTCATTTTTTTTTTTTTGGCCTGTCACTCTGACAAAGTTCTTTTCCCCTCATAGCAGCCGGGATGCTAAAATAAAAGAGCTATTAGTTGGCACTCCAAAATAGATCAGTGTTCTGTACATGAAGATTATTTATTTCCCTTTCCCCACCAGAAGAGATAAAAGCGACTTG